TAATTGCTGCTTTCAAATGATGTGGAAAATGAACCTTCCTCTCCCCCATTCAGCCTGGCACCTCCTAAGAATTTATTCCCTTTATTTGCAGGGCTCCATGTATAATTAGAGGAAGTCTTCCAGCAAATCTTGATTATTTAAAGGTGTGTGTGCATGACCAGGCTCTAAGGGAGCATCTATTCTACATTATAGAAATGATGCAGTTTGACATCACTTTTAAGTGCTGCAGCTCCATCCTCTGGGATCCTGGGATCTGTAGTTTCAAAGGTCTCTTGCCTTTTGCCCAAGAGTGCTGGTGCCTCACCAAACTACAAATCCCAGGAGTCTATAGGATGGAACCATGGCAGCTCAAGAGGTGTCAAACTGCATTATTTCAACAGTGTAGATGCATCCTAGGACACTGGTAGTCTTAGTTTGCAGCTTTGTTGCTCAGGTTAGTAGCTCACTCCTGGACTAACGCAAACTTGGTCTCTTCTATATCACAACCGAGGAAACACAGGTAGGAATCTGGATCTATTCCTGTTTACAGGGATCCTTCAGATGAACACAAGTGGCTTAGATGGCGTAGGCGTAGGCCTTCTCTTCTTGGGAAACTCTTTTGTCCCCATCTCCAACAGAGTAAGGCTGGCCTCCTTCCTGAAATAACACACCATGCTTCCTTCCCTTGTTCTTGCCCCTTTGTGCATCTTGGTCTCTTTGTTCTGCATGCGCCTTTATGCACAAACTTTTTTCAGCTTAGAGGAGTCCAGGATTGATGTCACCAGTTTCGGAAACTTACTCAAATTTGCAGATTTGCTGTGGGTAATTCTCTTGGAAATGTGAAGTGTGACTCCTTTATGCCTCTGGGTCAGTGCATGTGTGCATAATGTTGATGGGGTCCCTCTCTCTGTTTCTTTCTCTCTCCACCTACAAGCATTATACTACATTGGGAAAACATGGAATGGCTGAAAACATCTTTTGGAAAAAGGTTGAACAATTGTCAGAGATTGGACAATAAGGAGCCCTGGTGGCACAGTGGTTAAATGCCAGTCCTGCAGCCACAAGGTTGTGAGTTTGATCCCAGGGCTTCACGGTTGACTCACCCTTCCATCCTTTCGTAGGTCTGTAAAATGAGTCCCCAGCTTGTTGGGATCAATTGGTTTACAGACTGTAAATGGCTTAGAGAGTGCTGAGTTCACATATAAGCGGTATAGAAATGCAAATGCTATTGTTATTGCTCTTGGGAGGATGGAATCATATTGATCTTTGGCAGGACATCAGAGGGTTGCACATCCTTCACTGCACCCACATCCTCTGATTTTTTAAAAAATCTTTGAAAACCAAAAACAATGCCATATTGCATTTTGTCACGTTTTTACCTCCTCCTCCTCCAGGAGAGACCTTTTTTGAAACAACTAACCAACCAACCTAGTAAACAAGGAGTTAAATCAGATGTGAGGGACATTTTAACAAAAAAATAATAATGAAAAATAACTGTTGTCCAAAAATTGGGGGGCTGTTGAGGGACACTTGGGGAGGGGTCAGATTAGACATGGGGATTGTGCACTTTGTCCACCCCTGATGTATAAGCTGAGCGCTGGAGGGACCCCAAAAGTTTAAAAAATGAGTTTGTGCTTCTGACACATCCTCCCTTGATCTTGGAGAAAGTGAGAAGACCAAAGCTATTAGCTTCTGTAGTTTGGGTTCATTGCCTTTTTGACTTGGAGTGACTGGCTTAGGGAATTTTGATAGAAGGCTCTGCCCAGGGCAGAGGAGGAGGAGGAGGAGGAGGAGGAAGAAAAAAACACTATGGAAGATCCATCTTATCACTGAACAGGAGCTGCTGGGCCAGGATGACTTGATCCTTGACCAGAGGTGGCAAGGTTGCCAGCTTCCATTAGCATTCTCCAGGGCCATCTGTCTATGCCTCAAGCGCTGCCTGTACGCTGTGCTCTTGATAAGGGAATTGGCTGACCTTGGTAGCTCCAAACAAAACTTTGGCAGGGAGGGTTTTATTTAAGGGGGGGTTGTAAAACAGCATCTTCCTACTTGGAAAGAAAAATGGAGAAGAGGGGCTAGAATAATTCTTCATAAGAACCCCATCAAAAGCAGGAAGGCATCCAGGAAAGAAAAACAAGTGCCATCCAAAAATTGCTTGCATGCAATAGAGGCTGAGTTTGTATGCTTTTTTGCACCACTTAAATCCTATAGAAGAAAGATGGGCAACTTGTGGCCCTCTAAATGTTGTTGGACTGAATCTCCCATCATCTCTTACTATTGGTTATGCTGGCTAACTCTGATGGGAAGCTGGGGCTTCCAAATATCTGGAGGACACGAAGTGTCCCACTGTGCTCTAGGACATGGACAGCAAACCATCTAATGAATGAGTAACTTTCTTTATAATAGGGATGGGGAAAGTGCCACCCACGGGTAAGGAAAGTGCCACCACACAGCCCTCCAAATTAATTTTGGGACATTTTTGCCTGTGGGTTAAAGCTGCAGCAAAATGCAGTGGTCTTGCTTCCACATCCCTTCCAAGTTCCCATATTGCTTAAAATGGTCATCTTTGTCATCCCAGGCAAATGTTTCTGGGATACCGAACACAGTTCTGTTGCTAGAATGGGTCCTCAGTTCCCTGTGTACAGTAGGGAGATTCTGCATCTAGGAGACCAAGTAAAGCATGGGGTTACATGGTGATGGTGCATTGTAAGTGAATTTTGACATGGCTCAGTCAAATGTGCATTTAGGATTAACTGTAATGTGCTTGTGCAGCCATCCGCAGCAACGCACAACCCACAATTATGCCAAAACATTTTCATAGGGAACTTAAGGACATGCAAAACATCAATGGGATTCTGGCCATTCTTTCAGGTAGAAATCTGGTATCAAAATGGTTTTGGAGGTTCAGTCCCAGACAGGAGTCTCAAGAGAGAGATGCTTCTTCCATAGATAGATAGATAGATAGATAGATAGATAGATAGATAGATGGGGATGATGGGAGTTGCAGCCCAACACAACACAGGTGGTGCAAGGCAAAGATGGAGAGTTTTATTGGTAGTAGTCCCTGTAAATAATCTGTAAAATAAGTGGGTGTCACCTTTTCTGTACAGTTTGATGAAGAACCCCTGGTGAATCTGTAGCTCTGAGATGGAAAATTAATGCATTCATGTCTCTGGATTTGAAATGCCTACATTTCGGGTACTGTCGGCTGTGCATAGAGACTTTCATTTGAATGCTTATTTAGTTAATATTAGCATTATGAATGATTGGAGGCAGCAGGAACTATGCTGTTTGGATACTTAACTCTTTACCATTTTGTTGGGAACAGGTCCCCATTTGTACCCTCTACCGTAAATATAAACTTCTTCCAGGTTAAGAAAACCCACCAGATGTGCTTAATCCATGGATCCCACAAAATCGTAGAGCTTTTTGGTAGGGAGCTTGGCTATACTGGCTAGGGAATTCTAGGATTTGGAGTCCAAAAAAAGGTTGCTTTCTCCCAAAAGGTCATTTTTCCAAGCTCTGCTTTCCCCAAAAGTTTGCTTTTCTAAGCTCTGCATTTTCTCCCTTCCATTCTTAGAAACTTAGATAACTCTGTATCTACATGAGATCCCTTTGCTTCTGAACCCCTTTAGAGATTTCTTAGGTGAGGATTCCTTCCTGATAGTATCAGGGAGCAGTTTCTCTGACCATAACAGAGGGGCCCTAAGTACGTAGATAAAGCCATTAATCTCACCAGAGATTGGTGACCTGGTTTTCTCTGTTTCTCTCCTCCTCCTCTCCTCCTTGTTGTGGCTTCCCATCTGTTCTGAGGAAGCTGGCTGGGTGATATGCATCTGTTTGATCCAACACCTTGCTTTGCTCTCAGGCATTTGTTCTGTTGAGAGAAGGTGTGGGAGATATGATCACTTTAGGCTTTGTCCAAGGTGAGTGGCCGGCACCATCTGGAGTGGAAGTGCTGGAAGGTGAAGCTTCCTTCAGCTGGAAAGGTGAAGAATGTTGGATCCTAGAGAGAAGAGAATCGTAAATTATTCTACCCCACCCAAGCAAAATTTATACCCTTTAAAGAGATCAGATCTGCCACAGTTCTCAAATCAGGCAGAAGTTAGCTTGAAAGATCTGTCAGAGGGGGAATGGGAACATTATGGGAAAGATCCAGTGATGGGCTTTGCTTAACAACATGGCAGAATCCAGTCGATCCAGCATGAGGTGACCCTTCTCTCCACTTCTGGTCCCTTTATACATCACTTCACACATGCTGCTGTTGAGTGTTGGACTACAACTCTGGAGACCAGGGTTTGATTCCCAGCTCAGCCATGTAAACCCACTGGTGACCTTGGGCAAGTCACACACTCTCAGCCTTGGGGGAAGTCAATGGCAAACCTCCTCTGAACAAATCTTGCTGAGAAAACCCTATGATTGGTTTGCCTTAGGGTTGCCCTAAGTTGAAAATAACTTGAAGGCACATAACACAGATGCACACATTCTGCTACATAATTTAAAGCCCTCTTCTGCTGGTACTGGCTTATATTTGGTGCAGTGTCTTGGGGGCACACTTTGTTTTAGAAGAGAATCACAGCTCTTGGACATGTAATTGGAAAAAAAAAGTAGAAAGACATCTTTTGGGTGTTTTATTATGTTCTGGGGCATCAGGGAAACAGAAGCAGGGCTGAATAAACCATGGAGCCATATGATTCCCAGCTCTGCTGTAAGTTGAGCCGCTTTTGTTATCCCTGAAAATTGTTGATAGATAAGTTGATCCCAAGAGAGAGGGGAGGGTTGTTTGCTTGCAGCCATCTATGGAGTTCTCAACAGAGGTGAGATCTGCCTTGGCAACGTCTGACTTCCCCCAGACACTGGCCTGTTGTCCTTTGCCTTCAAGAAATTTCTTACCTATGGCAACCCTAAGGTGAACCTATCACAGGGTTTTGTTGGCAAGATTTGTACAGAGGGGATTTGCTTTTGCCTTTTTCTGAGGCCGAGAGAGTGTGACTTCCCCAAGGTCACCCGCTGGGTTTCTATGGCTGAGCAGAGATTAGAACCCTAGTCTCCCAGAGTCCTAGTCCAATGCTCAAACCACTGCACCACACTGGCTCAAATTTATTAAGTGTTTTTCCTACCACTTTATAAAGTGTCAGCTGCATTGTTCTTTCAAATTGTTAAGTCATTTTGAGTTCCAATTTTAGAGGAAAAGTGGGATATAAATATTAATATAATTAGAAGCCAACGTGGCATAATGGTTTGAGTGTTAGACTTTGACTCTGAAGACCAGGGTTTGAGTCCCCTCTTGGCCATGAAACACATTGGGCGACCTTCAGCAAGTCATATACTCTCAGCCTCAGGGGAAGGCAATAGCAAACCTCCTCTGAACAAATTTTGCCAAGAAAACCCCATGATAGGTTTTCCCTAGGGTCTCTATAAGTTGAAAAGGACTTGAAGGCACATAATATGCACACATTGTTGTTGTTGTTGTTTATAGTGTTTCCCAAAGGAAAAAAGGGGCAAGATTCTGTCCCAATGGTAGAAACAGGGTCCATATGCTCCTCAGAATGTTGTAGGAGTGCAATGCCCAGCATTCTTTACTTAGCTAGGATTGCTGAGACTTATACTCCACAAGTATCTGGATGAGAGCAAAGTCCCCAGCCCTGTCTTAGCATCTGACAAACTTAATTTTAGACAAATTGATTACTTCTTCCCTCTTTCCTCTCACCATGCTCCTTTATCCCTCATTCAATTTTTGTTTTGTTTTGTTTCTGAATTCTTTTGCAAGGTTGAATATCTGGGTTAGTCTAGAGATGCTTTCCACCATAGCCTTGAGAGGACTTGGGGAAAGCAGCCTTGTGGTTTCCAAACCGAAAATGAGATGAAAAACATGTCTGGGGAAGGAGCAAGGGCAGGTGAAAACAGGGCATTACAGCATCAGCCTGCATTTTTTTTGCACCAAAGCCACCATCTTAACGCTCATCCACTGGGGAGCCAATGCAGAGGTCTGGTGGGACTTGACATCTGAGTAAACAAGAAGCCGGATCTGGCTGTGAGCTTTGCTGTTTGCGTTTTCCCTCCCTTCCTCCCTGCTCGATATACATTTTGGAAGGCTGTTGCTGTATTGATTTGCCCTGCAAATAGCCAGGTCCATTCTGGATGCTGAAGTACTGGGTTGTCAGTAAACTGGCTGTCAAACACACAAATGCACACATTTAAGCTAGTTTTAACTGGCGTTCTGCTGTGGTTCCTAGTCTGAACCCTTGGGAATTGAAATTTCCTGAAAGAATTGAGTCGTCTTTCTAAGTAAACCTGAGTCTCTCCCAAGAATTGCAATTTCTGGCGTTGGAAACAGTGGGAGGTTAGTGAGCTACTTCATCAAACCGGTCCCTTGTTTGCATTAACCTTCATCTCACCATCTGAAATCCTCAGTCATGTGTGGATTTAAGCTTGGATTTCCTTTCTTGTAGAGCGTGGGTGTCTGTGCCTTCAAGTCCCCCGTCAATTTATAGGGACTCCATGAATTTTGTAGACTTTTCTTAGGCAGAGGTGGTTTTGCCAGGTCCTTCCTCTGAAACAGAGCCTACTAAACTCCACTTTCGACACCATCATTAAAGGTATAGGAGATGTCTTCAGTTTTCCCTCTGGCAACCCTAGTCCTAAGGTAGAAGATGTGAGCCTGCCTTTGGCATTTCAGCCTCGACTTCCAGATGGTTCCCTGACCACCATCTTTCACATTGAAGTTGGACTAATGGTAGTGCCAGTGGCTAAGCCTAGAGTGACAACCTGGGCCAGTGATGTGACCTCCTTCAACTCCACTACCCGTAGGCCTCTCTTTTCTCTTTTCTTCTTCCTGTTGAATCAGAACTTGGCTCAGTGAGACAATCTGCTCTTTTCTCTTTCCTCCCTTTTCTGCTGCCACGTTGTCACAGGAACAGAATGGCTGGAGGCAAAAGGATTGTGAGCAAGGGTCTGTGAAATGCTGAGGAAACGATAACCCCGAAGCTCCTTTTTGCAAACTTGCCCCAAGAAGTAAGCTGTGGGCTTCGCCTTCCCCTCAAAGGCTGCTCGGTGTGTTTGAGCAAAGCTGGATTTGCAGTCTTAACTATTCCTCACCTCCATTTCCCCAATTTTATCATTCAGAGGGCTCTTGGTATCTGCTGTGGTTTGGTCTGGATACCAACATCCGTGGATGCTCAAGTCCCATTATATGTAGTGGCATAGTGAAATGGTGATCCTTAGATGAAATCAAGGTTTGCCTTTTTGGAATTTGTATCTTTTTGGAATATTTCATCATAGATGGCTGAATCCATGGATCAAGAATCCATGGATATGGAGGGCAGACTGTAATTTTAAATGTCTGTGTAATGTAAGCCTAGTCACCACAGAGTAAAGATCATGTTTCTTGAAGCTCTGCAGAACAGAGCATGTGCTATACCACTCAGTTGTGGTTCTTTTGACCAATACAGAACCACATCTTACCCTGAATCAGAGTACTGGTCCACTATGCTCCATATTAAGGCCCGGCATGGTTTTATTGGTTTGAACGTTGGACTAGGACCCTGGGATACTAGGGTTTGAATCCCAGTTTGGTTATGGAAACTCACTGGGTGAGTCGCACACTCTCTCAGCCTGAGAGCATGGCAGCGGCAAACCCTCTGAAGAAACTTGCCAAGAAAACCCTATGATAGGTTCACCATAAGTCAGAAATGACTTGAAGGGACACAACAACATCAAGGCTCCATATTGTCTGTCAGAGATCCAGCATAGTGTCATGATATGAGTGTTGGACTATGACTCTGGAGACTGGGGTTCGATTCCCAGCTTGGCCATGAAACTCACTGGGTGACCTTGGGCAAGTCGCAAGCTCTCAGCTTCAGAGGAAGGAAATGGCAAACCTCCTCTGAACAAATCTTGCCAAGAAAATCCCATGATGGATTTGCCTTACGGTCACCATAAGTCAGAAATGACTTGAAGGCACACAATAGCAACAACAAGAAGCTTGCCAGGATTTCAAACAGATCTCTCCTTCCATGCAGATATTGAGTAAGTCGCACACTCTCAGCCTTGGAGGAAGTCTGTGGCAAATTTCCTTTGAACAAATCACAGAAAACCCTGCGAGGGGTTTGTCTTAGTGCTGCCTTTGGTCAGAAATTGATGGTTGTTCCATACAACCCAGAAGTGGTATATTCATTGTTATGCCTTCCACATTTCCCTACCTCCTGATGCTCTCACAGCAATGTTGAAAATGTCATTATTTTAGATCATTCTGCACTGAGACTCCGGAGCCATTCTGTTGCAGTTGCTTTAGTAGATTCCATATCCGAATCTGTCTGGCTTTTTTATTCTCTGCTCTCTGTTTCTATTGAAAGAGTCATTTGTCAAGGCAGATTAGGGGCGCAAATTTAGTTGCTCTTCAAAAGAAGCTTGTAACAAAGTCTGCCAGAGAACAGAAGAGAAAAAGAGTATAAAAAACATCAGCAAAACCAACCAACTCACCTCTGTTCTTTTTCTTCTTTGCGGAAATGTTGTCGGGAAAATACCTCTGCAAGAGAAAATGAATGTTTGCCCAGAGCCAGTTTTGCTTAGATGTGGTGGATTTATGCAAGCGGGGGAAGAGGTTGAACACAAAAATAAGCAAAACAGGGCCATTTTTCATGTCAGACCCTGATTTTCAGTGATCAGTAACCATGTGCGCTACACAGATGAGAATTAGCTGCCTTTCCATCTATTTAACAAAGAGGTTTGTACAATTCAGGAGCCTGGATACTCCTTCATCCTAAGAAATTGGCTCCATTGGAAAGATAACATTTCCCCATTTTGTCTTCCTGCCTGCCTAACGTAATGTATTGCTCTCTGCATAGCACAATGCAAACTATCTATCCCACCTCCCACCTGAATGCATGCAGTTCTTGAGCTGTATGGACTTGAAACATTGATAGCATTTTGCAAGAAAGCCAGAATTCTCAGCATATTCAGGGTTTGTTTGTTTTGTAAAACCTCATTATGGCGATGTGTGTTGAGCTGCAATTCTGCTGCTTGTCCGAGGGCTGCATCTGCACTGCAAAAATAATGAAGTTTGACACTGCTTTAACTGCCACGGCTCAATGCAATGGATTCTGTGGTTTGTAGTTTTGGGAGATACAGGGTAACCAGATGTCATACCCTCAAAGGACAACAAGGCACTGCAAAATGTTGGATGTTCAAGAAAAATGTAGGATGTGGCAAAATACCAGTTGCTAAGATAAATATAAATTCACTCCATATGGGTTATTTACAGCTATTTTACATATAGCAGTATTTTATTATCCTTTTATTTTTTTATTTTATTATAGTTTACTATCCTGTCCTATTACATCCTATTTGCAGTGAGGACCGGCTGCCAAGTAGACAAATTTCTCGAAGGAGACCAGCAAATGTTGTGTCACTCAGTGATCCAAATGGAGCACATTTTGGCATTCCTCTTAGACAAGAGGTTGAAATGCAGGACATGTCCTGGAACGGGAGGATATATGGTCACCCTGGTGCGATATTTAGCCTTCTCTGTCAGAGTGCTTTGGTGCCACAACAAACTGCAAATCCCAGGATTCTAAAGTATGGAGCCATAGCGGTGAAAGCAGCATCAAACTGTATTATTCCCACAGTGCAGATGATGCCTGGATCAACTCAGCAAATGTGCTCATGATACTTTGCTATGAGGCCTGTCTAGCATGATCCTTGTCCTTCTGAATGGTGTAAAGCATATTGATCACTAGGCATACAAATAGGTATGAGAGGAGGTTTGGCGTTGGTAGAATAGCGGGTGATATTGCAAGCACAGACCTGAAGGGAGGGAAAGCAAGGAATGTTTACAGATGCAGTTCAGCAAGGAAGAGGAACAGGGTGTGCTTCTGTACCTTTTGCTGGTTCTCCAACCCTTATCTTTAAAAGAAAAAGAAAAGAAAAACTTCTGGTATTACACCCCCAGCTGCCCCCTTGCAAAATGGCTCAACAGAGGAAGCAGACAAGACATTGGGGCATTGTTTGCAAGTAACACCAACTTGCCTTCAGATCTTTATCTTGTTCTGCTGCTTTGCCTTGGGTGCGGTTTGACTCACTCACTTGAATCACCC